CCCCCACACGCGGCGTGTCCGGCCCTGCCCGGGGGTAGCGCCTTGGCGGCCCGCTGCCAGCCCCCGCCCCACGGCGAGGTGCGAGGCCGGGACACCCCCTCCGGCCGGTGTTTCCGAGAAGCAAGCTCCACCCCAGCGCCATCCCCTTGCCCCCGGGCTGCTTGGGTCACTTGGGTGTGTGGGGAAGGCGCGGGTGGGGGTTCAGTGCTGCCCCACACCAACTCTTTTCCTCATGGAAACAGGCCCTGCCAAGCCCATTTTATATATAGAGGATGATCGCGGTTCCCCGGTGAGGCGGGGTGCCAGGTGGCCACTTCTCGTCCACGCCGGGCCTGCGGGCCTTTACGGCTATTTATACTACTGATATATCCAGGTGCGCTTCTGTTTTTTTCTTTTTCATTTCTGAAGGGATTCAAATCTACTTATGGGCATGCCAGGCTTTACTGGGGCGCTGGGCCCAGGGGGAAGTACAGTTGGCAGCTGTCCCAGTGCTGCTAGGATGGCAGGGGCAGGGGAGCGGAGAGGACTGGAGCGTGCACAGAGGGCTCCGGGGGTGGCTAAGGCCAGCCCCGGTGCCAACAGCCAGCAAGGGAGAGAGCGGCAACTTTACTCTCCCTTTTGCTGCACATGCAAGGGGAAGCTGGAGAGCCACCACTGATGAAGTTAGACCACATTTTCGAGGTCTATCATTATAGCTGTTTGGAACTTATCAAGGTGGGATAATCGCAACTTGGCACTGTCGCTGGTCCCAAGGGAGTTGCACCATTACCCAGTTAATTGGGCGATACCTGTCATGCGTAAAGGGGACCTACAAGACTTCATCCTTACATATGTCCTGGCAAGCCCAGCAGCAGGTTTTTCCCCATGGAGAAGTTTAAAATGGACAAGGTCCTTGCTTGTAACCCAGCCTAAAACAGTCTTTTCCAGGGGCCTTGCCTTCTATGTCAATTCAGGGCTGCCACGTTTCACATCAAGAATTAGCTGGCCAGCAGATCACACCAATTACAGTATCGGAGGCTTCTCTAGGTCCATCCAGTAAGTTAGTGAAAGGACAGGTTGGTAACTTTCAGTTACCTCCCCCTCCCTCCCAGTACCCTGCAACAGTAAGGCAGGGCTCCCAGCAGCATTGCCTAAACAGCTGCCCATCTTTTGCAATGCTCCAGGAACCCAGGGAAGTCTTTGCTCTCCACTGGTAGGAATTGCCTTCCTCCCAGCAGAGACAGGCCTTCAGAAAGGCAGTAACACTTGCAGCTATTTTCTCAATGTAAGGGTAAGAACTGAGTCCTCTCACTAGCCCGGGGAAGGTGAGGTGTTAATACAGAAGAGGCTTCAGTCGGAAAGGTAGATTTTGGTTTGCTTGTTGTGCTTGTAGTTTGCAGAAGATCACATCAGACTTCATATTTAACATATTTAAAAGCACATTGTTTTACTCATTCTCATGTAAAGATGCCTGTGAATACATGTAAGCGGATAATGGTGGATGCCTGTTTGAGATAATGATCCTGGGAAAATATTTCTTTCCTGGTACAATCGCTAATACCAGCAGCCTGACACAGATCTGTTTAATCGCTGGCAGTTGGGGGGGGG